CATTCCTGGAGGGCAAGTTTTGTGGGCCGAGCTGCGCTTCCATCTCAGGGGATTATGGGAGGCTGGCAGGCCGTGTCTGGCTCATTTCTGGCTTTGATGCCCATGTCCGTACCATTGTGGATTTTCACTTTTCCACCTACATCCAGTTAAGGTGGAAGTGACGAGGTCATGGGTATCAGAAGACCTCGATTGAGTCCTGCTTTGCCATTTCCTACTCCTGTGACCTTAGGCGGATGCTTGGCCTCACCCCACCCATTTCTCCATCTGCAACTTGTCCTAATGCTATGTATTTGTCAGCATAGTTGTGAAAGATAAGAGTGTTTTAACGGTTTGTATCTGTCAACATTGACCCCTTGCGAAAGTAAATAGAATGAGTACCACTTTGAAAGCTGTAAATCAGAAGCGTAAATCTTCGCACAAGTTCATCTATGGAATTCCTTTGAGATGTACAGGAAGCCAGCCCTGTCTTTCAGACCTGTGTCTTCTTCCTGCTGTACTGGTTTAGTTTCCTCTCTGAAGGTGCCAGGCCTCAGGCCACACATTTCGGCCCATGATGGCAACTTCCTCTTCGTGTCCCCACACTTCCCACTTCCTGAACGCAGTCAGAGTGGATTCCCTGACCACAGTAAGTGAGCTTGGGATCTTTCAGTAAAAGAAACCCTGTAAGAGCTGGGCATGGTGGCGCATGCCTGTAATCCCAGCACTCGGGAGGCTGAGGCAGGAGGATCTCTGAGTTGGAGACCACCCTGGGCTACATAGTGAGACCCTGCCTCAAAAAACAAAAAAAAGAAAAGAAAAGAAACCCTGTAAAAAGAAAAGGGGTTGAACAGGAAAGAGAATATGCTTAATGCCACAGAGCTATACATTAAAAATCGTTAAAGTAGGGGCTGTGTCACTTGCTCAGGTAGAGCTTATGCTTAGCATGCAGAATTCCCAGCAGTGAAAAAAGTAAAAGTGTAAAGTGAATGATAAATTGTGCTATATGTATTTGATCACAACAAAGTGTCAAAAGGGAGGGTCTAAACAAAACTATCCCTAATGGTTCTTTATGAGTAAAGAAACACCATTCTCCATTGGTGGGGGGAAAAAGTCCATATGGACTACCATACTTTCCTAAGAGCAGTTTCCATTTATAAGAATTAATGGGTTTTGCTGGGCATGGTGGCGCATGCCTGTAATCCCAGCCCTCGGGAGGCTGAGGCAGAAGGATCCTGTGAGTTTAAGACCAGCCTGGGCTACATAGTGAGTTCCAGGTCAGTCTCAACTACATAGTGAGACTGTCTCCAAAAAA